GGGTTCCAAATAAGCTAATGTATTTTAACTTCTGTCCCTAGTTTAAGTTTGCCTCAACAGATTTCCACTTGGTTGGCAGATGCCTCCAAGCTTCAATTGCTGACTACACTACTCCAGACAACTGTGAGCTCTGGACTTGCTAAAAGCTGAGGAGCACCGACCCAGTCAATGTGATTGTTCCCTGTCTCTACAGGGTCAGATAGGCACATGCTTCTTTTTGACAGATGCCCCTTTGCCCAGCCTTTGCCCAGCCTTTCAGCCTTTTGGGGGCCCTGACAACAGTGCCCCAATGCCAGCTCGAAGCAGTTCCAGAAGAAAATATGTTGTTCCATGTTCCCTGTTCAAAAAAGGCTGAAATCCTGGGTCAATAGGAAACTCCCTGGCATAGAGGCAAGATGACCAACTATACTGTCCATTGACATACCAGGAAAATAGGTTCAGAGATGTCAATAGATAAATTTATTAACTAAAATGGTTTTGCAATAAGATAAGACACTTGACTTTCTTTGTGCAGAACCAAAGATATATTATGTAAGATCATAATCTGATTGTACTCAAAGATCAGAACTACGCGGCCTTAAAAATGGCAATGGATACAGCTGTCACTGCCCTAGAAAAATCTGCTAGCTAATGGTTCTTAGGACAGGTAGGACTCATGGTTGAGTCCTATCATTGGTACTTGTGAAGGGGGGAATGTGAAGGGGCCCCAAAATAGCTTGACCACACAGCAGCCAATGCAAGCTTAGGAGCCTAGACACAGCTTCTGTGACAGACTTACTGGCAGGCAACACCCAGATCAAGGAAAAGCCTTAAGCTGATACCACTCAGGGATCTACCCAGGGGTGATGAAGTACCTGATATTCTAAACATTCCAACCATTAGATAAGGTGGCCAGATGTCCTTGAGTCTAGCACACACCTATTTTTTGTTTTACACATACTCCTAGATAATTGTCAGCCAATCAGGGTCCTGGACCCTGGAAATCCCGTCACCCCAACCTCTGCTATGATAAAAACTCTGCCCCACCTGAGTTCAGGGCTCTTTGCTCTTACCACTGTGTCAGACAGACAGGGGGACCAAGCTCTGGAGCTTGAAATAAAGGCTCTTTGCTTTTACATGTTGGGGGGGGCAGAGAATAGATGTGGGCAGGTGCTCAAGGTTGGCTAGGTTCTGGCAGAACCTTCCTCAGGGCCCATTGTCATTCCAGAAAGAAAAGCACAGAAAAGAGGCTCCTTGTTCCCTTCTTAAATGGATGGCTGCAACCTGATGCAGGGACTGGACGTGGAAAGACCTAGAATGCTGGGCCCTTGGTGAGGCAGGTTGTGTAGATGGATGAATTGTTAGTAGGAGGGGGAGAGATGCAGGCTGGGACCTGTCAATTCTTACCTTCTTCCTTCACCTCACACCTCAGTCCACTTCCTCTGTTTTCCTGTGCCCTATACCCTGTACCCAGAGCTGGCTTCCAGGGTGCAGCAAGCTAGTGTTCTTCAATCTCTCTTCATTTTCACATGGGTTTAGAATGCACGCTCCATGTGAAGAGAGCGACTCTGAGATGCTGAATCTGACCAGGCCTGTGCTTTCCCCTCGTGGCTCTCTAAAGGAGGCCTGACGAAATGACACTGTACTGCTCTGAAACATTGCCTTCAGTGAGAGGAGAGGAAAACCAAACCAAGTCCTCGGGGCCTCCACTGGGCTTTCAGTGCCCAAGCCCTCAGAATGAGGAGACAGCTTGGAACTAAGACTGCCAGCTAAGGAAGGCAACTCAAGGAAGTCTAGGAGGCAGGAAACCAGGGGAAATGTTTAACAAAACAACTGAGCATTCCCAAAAGTTAAAAGCAGAAAGGCTCAGAGCTCTCCAAAGCATTGCTTGACGTTAGGGAACAATGGGGCAAAGCATGAAATTAAAAAAATAATCAGGGGGCTGGAGAGATGGCTCAGAGGTTAAGAGCACTGGCTGCTCTTCCAGAAGTCCTGAGTTCAATTCCCAGCACCCACATGGTGGTTCACAACCATCTGTAATGAAATCTGATGTCCTCTTCTAAATAAATAAATAATCATTAAAAAAAAAAAAAAAAAAAAAAAAAAAAAAAAAAAAAAATAAAACCCTTTTTTTAATAAAATTGGTTTTTTTGATGTGTGTGAATGTTTGCCTGCACGTATGACTGTGCCTAAGGAGGCCTTAGGTATCTAGGGAGGCCAGGAAGGTGGATCACCTAGAACCGGAGTCACAGATGGTTGTGAACCAACATGTGGGTGTGAGGGATTGAACTTGAATCCACTGAGCCAAGCATTTGGGTTACCTGAGCCATCTCTCTAGTCCCACATAATGGAGTTTTGAAGAAGCAATTATGCTTAATTAACAACCCTAAGGCTGGGCACGGCGGTGCTTGATTGGAGTCCCGGCACTCAGGACTCTGAGGCAGAATGATCATGGGCTACGGAGGGAGTTCTAGGCCAGCCTGAGTTACACAGAAAGACAGG